ATCGTGTTGCATCGTTTCTTTGCTTAATACAGCCTCATAAACAAATAAATACACAAATAAATATTAGCGGAACAACTCCACTATTTGAACATACATTCTATTCCAACTTTGCATTCTTACTTTCTTTCAGTTCTTACATTACTAACATAAAAAAGTGCCCCCAATGGAAGCCTGGTGAATGCTAACAAAAAAAAAAGAATTGCTCGAAATACTATAATGCTCGCTGTCGGCTCAATTCCGCTCCTCCTATAAGTGCTACTACGAAGTAATGCATTATCACAAGCCAACAGTGAGATGGCCTCAGAGTCACTCCAAATACTCGGATTTTGATTAGATAACATTGAAGCAATTTGGTATTTTAGTGCTGTAGAAAATTACAATTGATTGAGAGGAATGAGAAGTCCAAGGAGAAAACCAAGAGAGAGTCAGTGGCTCTGAAGAGAACTACGAGTCGAGATGGTGACTGCGGAGACTGATAGTATGTTAATGACCCTGGCTCTGACCATAAATAGCGTAGCGATGTCATTACACCAACGAGTTCCAACCCAAATTGGAACATTCTCGAAAGTGCATACAGAACTGAAGATTTCCCTCGCTGTTGGGAACCAGCATAGGACGATTTTCGAGGACGAATCGGAAAAACGACAGCACGAGGGCTGAGCCGAAAATTACCGACAACATAGTGACAGGTTGTTCTACTGGTTGAGTTCTCAAAGGTCTGACGCGTTTCTTAGTAACCGCCTTTTTCACTCAAACTAATACTTCAAAGTGAAATAGAAATGTAGTAACTGCGATAGTTGACTCACTCTTTGGGGAAGCTCTGCAAGATTGGAGAAAATGAGTGCTGGAGAGGCGCCAAAGGTGGCGTCTGTGATAACGAGAACTGGACCCTGGAAGAAGTACATAATAATGCTGTAAAAAACGATTATAAATCAACAATACTTCAAAGTTGTCAATGGCCAGTAAAGACGGGAATTGTGTCCTTGAACTGCATTAGGTGGTTCGGAATAGGTGGTACTTAAGTATAGAGTGAAGCTCCCTCGGAGGCTCGCTTTTCCGTAATGGCAAGTAAAATAAGCAAAGCGTGTTTGAGCCTACAATGAATGGAATACGCAAAAAAATACTTCACTACATAAGTAGTAAACTTCTTCTAACAACGGAACTGCGATGGTTTAGTGGCAAATATCGCACTGTCACACACGCATGGTCATGGGTTCGAATCCTGGGCCAACCCTCATCCCTGCGTGGTAGATTAAATGCTTCCAGATTAGTCTGGGAAGATAAAAGCCCTGCTTGTACAACGGATGACCACCGCAAGTCATTGTATGGGTCACACACGCATTCAATACGCCACTACGATTCTGATTGGACGCCGACTACGGGGCGCAACTTCCTGACGGGATTGATGAACGTCTGAAAAGTTTATCCTATATCCTTCATAACAACAGAGTGTCTATCTTAGTATATGAATTTTTCAAAAATTGGAAAGATAGAGTGCTAAATAGCATGAATAGGGCATTGTAAACATGCTTTTCCAAAAAATTTGACTTCGTTTTCTTACCAGCTGGCAAGAGACTGCACATTTTTCATTTTGCCATTCATTTTGATGGAAAAGATCTGAGAAAAGCTCACCCTGCGTAACCAGATATAATTCAAAGCACAAATTTCCGGATTATATCTTTTCAGACCCAAAGAGAGCTTGGTTCCCCATGTGCACAGATTTTTGGAAGGCACTATCATTTTCACGATATTAATTCACTCTCTCTCTTGAATTTAAAGGAGGCTACCGTAACCAGTCTTCTTTTATTATAAACACGTCTTTAAAATGTTTCAAATGTAACGAATGCAAATATCGGAGGTGATGTATGCAGAAGGAACTCACAATGGACAGCACCTGTCTTTACAGTATTAACAATAAAGTAACTAAATGAATTCACAGACCCACAACATAACTGCGATTATTTGACCGATGAAACCCACCAAACGTAAGGATTAGACAGCACTCGATTTTCCAACAAACAAGGTTGTCAGTCGCACAAAATGGGCGATTTAGGCAAAACCTCGGCCCAGCCCAGGACTCGACCCAGTACTTGTGCTTTTCGGGCAACATCAGTTAACAAAATATCAAAGCAAAATGAGTTGTCATAAGAAAAAAAAAGTAAAAGTCGGTAAAAACGATCAGATTATTGATTAACAAAAACAAGTTCTATGATGGTACCCCAAAAATCGTTTATTCGGGTAAAAAACCCTGATTGACGAACTTTGAAAAAAGTTTGGAAGCGAACTACGACTCTGACATGATCATTGAAATGGCTGCACATTACAAAACCAGTTGATTACCTTAAGCCTGCCGGGTGGCGCCGTGCATGATTCATATGGAAATGGGTGAAAACTTCCTTACAGCAATCCCAAAGCAAAACAAAGATGGCGCTCAATGATAGGAACTGTAAGGATACCGAAACATGACACCCGGCACTCGATTGCCACATCGATCAAGAAACCTTGACCGTGATACCATTAGGAATGCAAAACACCCGAATATTCAGAAATAAAGAAGGGTTTCAAGAGATCATTTTCATTTCTATCCATATAAGTGCGTTACGTTACTATCAGAAGAAAAGACCCACGAACATACAGTTTCCTGTTACAAAAGGATTCACCCGAATGGACCCTCTCATCGATGAACTTGACCAGGGAGATGGAATTCGCGGACGACAAAGAAGAGAATGCACTTTTCAAGAGCCAAAAGGCTAAATATGGAGTGAAACAAGTTTTTACCGATACTTTACTATGAGTTACCAGTGAGCAGTGTCCCTCTTTTACGGTGCCATAAAAAGTACATAAGCGCTTGAGTACCGGATGTTGAATACCTTCAATTCCTAAAAAGGTATCGCAGATAAATTTAATCAAACAGAAGCGTACTTGTGCATTTCCTTTACAGAAGCAAATGTCCGGAATTGTAAAATCGCCAAGACGATTCACCCTTTCTCAACCGATCTCGGCAGGCCTTCTCAAACAGCAGGACCCATCCCACGTTAGATAGAGCAAACCCGCATTATGCTTCTCTCTTCTCCCTCCCTAACTTCTTCTTTTCGATTTTCATTTTTTCAATTTTATCGGAAAATATCACAATAAAAGGTGGATAAAGAATAGAGGAATCGCTTCTACGATCAGGAAAAAGTATCGCGAAAGTCAAAATGAGCTCCTCCAAACCACAAGGAAGAGACGATGAAAGTATGAAGGTAGAATATCGTCTCAAGAAGTTGGCCACTTCAATTAGGAAGTCGTTAAAATTTCACTCACCATTTCTGAGTAAATAAAGCGGTACGATTACTTGGAAAACTAGTGGCCTTCATCGTCAGAATTAAATTTGTTCGGATGTTGACAAGGATGAGTTCGATATGAGTCACAGTGAACGGCCAGAAATCCAGGCAGATCCTCTCACTGGTAGATAATTATAGGGCACTTTTCAGTTCACATTAACATGAAATTCTGTTCTATGCATGAAAACCCCCTTTGGACGAGATTCAAGGGGCATGGTGGCAACCAAAAAGGAGGAGAGAAGGAGTAGATACACTCTCATGTCACCTACTCTGTCATCTACCTACTTTGACTAACAGTGCTAGGGTAAGTAAAGCCTTTGAAGTCTTCGGACGTTGATCGATCCCGTCTGAAGGATGCATTCGATAGGATAAGTATCGCTAATATTATAAATCTAAAGGTAGGTAAGGGTTCTAAGGTAAAGGTAGTAAGCGATAAAAAATTTTAAAATTGACTTCAGCACGCCTTCATTTTTGCAACCATATGTATGAGAGCAGAAATGATTTGTCGCTGCTTGAGTTTGATAAAGGAAACTATCCTGTGGTCAACCCAACTGAATGTCTACTCGTTTGCAGAATGAGAAAACGACCATTCAAACTAGTACAGCTCACATTAGCAGTTTTTTAACTCTTGTGTGCTAAGCAGTAATTTTGATCAATCAATAGGCGCAATCATTTGACGCATGCTGAAGGCATTCAAGTCATTCTACCACGCTTTACTGCCCCTTTTCTCGCTGCACATCTGTAGCGCAATTTTTTTTCAATTTCATTTGGCTCAGTTGATGGCCATGAAGCGCCGACCTCTCAATTAAGGACTTTCTGAAGGAATGAGGTCAGCGAACCGGGGCATGCCCTAACCTTCTCGGACTTGCTTGACATGAGGGACGAGACCAGCCGACTACCAGTCATATCTGCTTGTAACGGAAGATGTGCTTTATGGATATTTCGAAGTCGATAACGTGAGCAGTCCGACCCGACACAAAACTAAAAATTCCTTAAAAATCAGGCGTATGCTTGGTTGGACTTGGTATATCCCGCTGAAGACTGATCGGCACGAATTTTACAAAATGGCATGCAGAAGTTGTAATTGGCGATTCTAGTCGAATTCTTTGGAACTTCAGTAACTTCCGAAAATTTTAGCCGCTATGGACACGGTAGAGCACTTCCAATGGCAAGTCGAAAAAACAAAATTTCTGGGGTGAATACTACCTATAAACAATGCCTTAGTAGGACCGATGTTTTTCTATGATGTACTCCTCAAAATGCATATACATCTGTTGTGCCTTATTTCCGTTGCCGATTACTGGTTTTTGGGTTTGATGAATTATGACCACCTTCACCTAATGTATGAACCTGCTCAATTTCATGCCATGTTGTCGTTTATAGCATCCCATAGCGCATTAGCACTCCAACCCCCCCCCCCCTTTTTTTTTTTCTTTACCTTTTTTTGTCAGTGCCTATCCTCTCAATAAACAAGACCAGGCAATCTGCCATTTGAATCGAACGACTCTCGAACAGCTTAGCAGTCATCGCTCAGTAAATAGAGTTACATACGAGACCATTCCCACGGTCCTCGCCCTTTAGCCATATCACGGACCACAGTAAAACCCCGCCCTAAGCTTTCGAGGCTGTACCATCACTTCTGCCAAAGAGGATAGCGAATGAGTGGGTATTACAATTTCTGAACTTGGTGTCAAGGTTATGTCTCTGCGCTTGACAATAAAATTGAGAGAACAAAGAATTGAAAAGCAAAGGTGGATGCGTAAAATCGTTCTGCAGAAGATATGAAACCAGTACTTCGTTTCATTGACAACTTTCGAAAGTGATAAATCCTATCGGGAAAAAAATAATTGTTATCAAACTAGGTATGGAACTTAAAAACTTGCCGTGGCACATCTGTGAGAGAATTCAGCGACGCACCAGTGACTCGGGCGTTCGACGTCAGAGGTGTTCCTGAAATGGGAAGATTGGTTCGAGATAAGGGTTACGATACCGCCTCTGGTTTAACTACTACAGAATGGGCATTTCGTGAGTTTGGAGGCTTTCTTCCAGCAAACCGCCGACATTTCAAAAATCAAGGATGGCATTTTACCTTTATATTAACCATTTACAAATAATCGAAAAAACTGGATCGCAATAACGGTGCGACTCGAGAGGGTCTTGAGCATCTCAGATTTTCACTAGCAAGATTCTCAGTTGTTACATAGTTTTTTTGAATTGTTCAGAAGCCCAGTGTTTGTGGTCCCATCTTTCTTCACTTGGAACAGCTAAAATATCTTAAATGACCTCAGAGACTGTGAAATTGAGCTCCGTAAATTAACGAAAAAAGTACACTGCTATGGAAGCGCGACGATTCTCGTTAACCCTTATTTTCATTTTAATTGAATAGTAAACCTCACACTACAACTTTCAAATAGGATGTTCTTATCATTTGCTAATTGATGCGTAGGACGTTGCTGATCCGAACCAATTACAGGCTTCCAGTATACACTAAATAATGTGGCCGTAAATTAAGCTAACGATTTAAGGCTTGCTGTGAAGGAAAGGAAGAAAGCAGAAATCGGACAGATTGATGGGTACCGCATCAAAGCTGAACTTGAATTGGAGAGCACGTACGAAAGAAAAATGGAGAAATGATTGTCCAAGGATCGTAAGAAAATTATGCGTTGGCAAAATGATAAAGGACATTTGATGAATTCTCTCAAAGTCAACGACTTTGCCATGTTTTACTATCAACCATATAAAAGCAAATATGGTAATACACTCAGTATTCTGACAACTTTTATTCCCGAATATTCATCACTTCAACCCGACTTTTGAATAGCGTTGATTCTGGGTCTCTGTGACAAATTTCTGAACCAGCCTATAATCTGGAACATGCCTTCAATCAACGATGACTGTACAATAGTACGACAAGTTAATGACAGTACATAAAGTGAATCATGAATGCAAGAAAATTGCTTTGCCAAGACAGAGTTTTTTGAAAACTTGCGAAATTTCCAGTTCCACAGGACCTGCAGCATAAATCATTATGTCAGAGCAGGAAAAACTCATGTAATTTTATATTTAATTTTCCATTCGAATCCGCAAATTCCCATCTGAACATTTTTATTATTTTTTGCTAGCTGTAATGAGTTGAGTGAGACTGGACCAAAAACCAATGCGAACCTTCTACACTAAAAATAGTCTTTCCCGATTCCCCAAGGAATTAATCGGATGCTGGGCCCCTCAGTGCAACGAAAAAGTCAATGAATGACCTTGGAAAATATTTCCGGAGTATATTTGATTGGGTACAAGAATTGCACAGTGATCAGAGGGTTACAAAACCCATTTAGACAGAAAATGTTTAAGATGAGGAATATCTCCATATCTCCTCTTTTTAGATGGCTACGGGCATTATGTTTCCATCAAGGCAACTGAATCATCGTTTTCCGCTCGGACGTTGATGGATTCCGTCATCAATAAGAATAACTTTAGCATGATGTGGGGTCTAGACGGAAAACATCGCGAAAAAAGACACGATTCTGATGGGAATACATTACAGTTTCCGCTGTTGGTCCCTCTAGGGACAGTAAGTTGCAGAAAGACTGAGAAGTTCAGATGAAACGATCCACTTGTAACGATTCCCAAGTAATCCCATGTGGTCGCAGCAGGTGACCACCACTCGACGATGTGAAAACAAAGCTGTGCAATCAATTGCGTGCAAGTGAAAGAAAAAGGTCTCGGTCCAGTGTGTCTCGGTCCCTTGGTCGAAAATAGCGACTTTCAGCGAAGAGTGAAAGTAACAAAATAAAGTAGTTGTCGAAAAAACCAACAAATAGTTGCATATTTTCAAAATGCCATCGTCTAAATAATTAATAACTTGGTTGACTGAAGAAATTGAACAACACCGTCACATTTTCTATTCTGAGTGCCAAATGATACTTTTTATTTGTCAGAGAGGATGATCTTTATAAGCAAACCCATTATCCATCCTTGCCACTCCTCTCACTAGCAGATCGATATGAAAGGCTGACCTCTTGCAGAAACCAGTCTCTCAGAACTACCACAGGAGTAACACAAAGAAAGAGTTTTACGGCAAAGTTTACCTTGGGATAGATAACAACCTGTTCCATTCATTTCTTTTCTTAGTACTCCATCTCACTCGCAGAAAAGGAAGAGATAGTGTTTATTACTTAAGAGTAACTAAGTTTACTCCCTGGCGACCAGAAAATAGCAAAAAAATTGGAGGACAGTGTTTTTCATAGACTTGAAATTTATACAATCAAGGATTTTGATCAAGGAAGTGACATTAAGAAGATACAAAGATGAGATTTTCAGATAAAAGCACAAAAATCATGATTATATGAGGAAGGAAGATCGCTGTTACCAGAAGATCGTGAAATTATCTAGGAAATTCATCAAATTTACGAAAGAAACAAAAAACAAGGCTGTTTATCGTCAAGAAAGGGGAAATCGATAATACTCGGGATTCAGCAAAAATACTAGTAGTTCAAGAAGGTAGCATTTACCTATAAAAGGATTCCGTTCATCCTTTTCATCACTGGAGTAGTTAGAATGCGCATAGCCCTCCATGGTGGGCCGCGAGAGCCTCGCTTCTATCAACGAACTCATTCGGCCCATCGACACCGCCCACTGACGATGGGACCGCCTCTTTTTCGCACCCTATTTTAATTGCCTCGAAAGTGGAAGGCTAAAGACAGTAAATGAATTTCGCTTGAGGAGCGATTCTTCCTGTAAGCCGAGCGAACGATGAAAATGAGAAAACAACCAACTGGAAGGGGATTTTACGACTTTAAGACTGAAACAGCCAGAAAACGCATAAAAGTAAGAGTTATGGGAATAGTAGGAGCAATGAGTGATTGTTAGCAACTGGAGACGTCCACAAAACTCAGTGAGGCAGAATTAGTGCGAAAAAGTGATTGATTGGCATGGGTGTTGGGTGAAGGACTGAATCTTCGTTTTCCCACTGACAACATTGATCCGTCTGACACATCAATGTTGTTCCTTGGCATCATTCATCAGCGCCTCATAAAACTTTTCTTGGACATGTACGAAACAGGCTTCTATGGGTGAGCGATCGTTAAAGTATTAGATAGTAAGTAAAATGAAGCAAAACTGGTATCGGAAGAATACAATGGCAGCGCCAAGAACAGGAAGGACGAAAAAGGTTGCAGAAAAGGTCGTCGATGGTATGATAGAAAATAATATCAAAAAAAGAGATGTTAATGGAGGTTTTCCCCATATGTTAGAATAGAGTACTACCGTACAATATTACAGTACTACGTTGGCAACTTCGTGTGTGCCGGCTTTGAAAATTTCTATGATTGTGTGGTCTAACCAGTAAAGTTTCTAAGAAAGCGCACTTACAAGAGCATTTCATAAATAAATAAACAAATAAAAAAATACACGTGCATAACTACGAAGAGACAGAAGCAGAAACGAGAAGAATTCATTTTGGAAGCAGACAAAGAATAGGAGCTGCATAGCTTAAAATGTTGTGGAAAAATCCAGGTAGGACACTTGCTGTGATGGTTGAAAAGTTGTTCTTTTGCCGAACAGATGATATAGAAGGATGACTGAGAAAAAGAAAAGGAAAAGAAAAAAAGGAGAAAGAACAGAGTAATGCCCTCAGGAGTGCTCGGAATGTGTATTGATCGATGAAACTCAATACTCACATGAATTGACTCGTTTCAGTGATTTCGGACGGGTAAAAACATGAAAAACATGTTTATGGCGTGTTATGATTTGTGAAACCCTTAGAAAATGCGACACACTAGAAGGCATGGAAGTTACACGCTTTCTTCACTAGATCACTTTATTCCAAATTGCTCTTTGGAAAACAGTCTAGTAAACAAAAATAATAAACAAATAAACAAATTGTCCGACCCATTGTCTTTGGTACGTCACCATAATCTATCGACTTTACCCTTACTGGTTAGTATCCCTCCATTCCCCATGGGCACCCTATGCATTAGTAACTTCACTTATCTAATTTTTACTCGAATAAAAATTATCTGGGTGGAAATTATTCGCTTTCTATAGGAGTGAATTTTCGCTCTTTTGTGGTTCTTAAATTTTTTTCCTCTGTGATCTCAGTTACACTTTTACAACTTTCCTTGAAATTCGCTTGAAGTCGGCAATATGCAACTACTTCATTCATGTTCCGCTTTGAGAGCGCATCTATGGGAATCAGAATGGATGGGTAAATAAACAAATAATTAAATTATCACACGTACAAGCCAATAAAATCCCTCTAGCGTTTCTCAGATTGAGGGAGCTTTATCCCTGAAACTATTCTACGAAAATTCAAAAGGAATTCCTCCAAAATGTTCATTTTGTGACCAACTCACTTTTCATATCTTCACTCATACGCTTAAGCTCTAACTTTGCACAGTCCAAATAGTCGAACTCCAAGTCTTTCCAGTCCTTGTCTGATCCCTTCGTCGTGGATCTGGGAACAAATCTCGTTCGTGGGCCGGAAGCTGAATAGGAAACCATCAAGAATTTCTTTACCTAGCAGACTGTCATTTGTGAAAAAGGGATATGAAAATTGCCTAAAAACATATCCAGTAAACTTTGAGGACTCTCTTCGCTTTCCATCTTGCCCTTTTTCACCACCTTCCCACGCTCGTCAGGTTTCTGGAAGTGTATAGGCATGTAGGTTATATTACGGTTGGCTATTTGATGAGCCGGCCCCGCTCTTTTGCTAGAAGCTTTCGGAGTAACTCAACAACACCTTCAACCATCTGCTTGCTACATCATTATCATGCATACGTGAAGTCATACTCCCTAGTTATAGACGGAAAAGCAGGGGTTCAGGTTCAATGAAACCCCCTGTTGACGACAATACGAAATCCTTCTCAATCCCCGTTGAAGAGTTCTACGACGTCCATTAGACAACATTTCGATTGCTCATCGCTTTACAATGAGTTAAAAAGTTTATTGCTTCATTCTTCATCCACGCCAACATACGGCCAAAGCAGAATTTGTCTGATAAACAAATATCAAATCCTCAAAACAAAAAACATTAGCTGTTGCAGGCCGAAAGCAGCCGATTCCGAAGATGATTGGATAGAAAACATCATCGTTAACAACCAGTGAATACAATAACACA